AAGGGAACTTAATTCAGATCCCTAACATAACTGACGAAATTATTTTAGGAGCAAATTGGCTGTATCAAAACAACATAATAATCGATTTACCTGAAGGTATATTATGAAAATTAGAAATCCCCTCCAACTGCTCTCACCAGAAAAAGCAGGATCTCATTGTAACCAAAGGGGGAGGTAAACTCGCTGCTGCTCTCACTACAGAGCAAGCCGAGGAGTGGCGCTTAAAATTCCCCACAGTCTGGACTCAAAGTAAAACAGACTGTGGAAAGATCAATGCCTGTGTTAAGATCGTAGGTGAACTAGTACCCCCTCAAAAACAATACCCCTACCCAAAAGAAGCAGAAGTCCAACTGATACAAACTGTACAGGACTTGGAACAACAGGAAGTTATTAAAAAAACTAACTCTCCTTTTAACTCTCCCGTATGGCCAGTTCTAAAGGCAGACGGAAAGTCCTGGCGGTTAACTATAGACTATAGGAGAATTAATAAAGGGTCTGTACCCATGGCCCCAATTGTAGCAGACATAACACAGGTTATACAAAAAGTACAAGCCACCTCCAAATACTTCTCAGTGATCGATTTGGCTAACTGCTTTTTTGCTATACCCCTACACCCAAAGTCCCAAGATAGGTTTGCATTCACCATAAACCACCAACAATTTACGTTTTGCCGACTACCACAGGGTTTTCAAGATTCCCCCACTATTGCACACAAACATGTGGTAGATATGTTGAATCATCTAAGCCAGCACGAAAAATCATTTGTCTTCTCCTATGTTGACGATATTCTGATTTTTGGGGACACCAGGAAACAAGTACAAAAACTTACTAAAAATGTTTTGGCATTAATCCAAGAAACAGGGTTTAAGGTAAACTTAAAAAAAGCACAATTGGTGCAACCACAGGTCACTTACTTAGGTATAGTGATTGGGAAGGAGGGGAGGCAAGTGGATCAGCACAAGGTGAAAGCATTACTGGATATGCCTGCCCCTACAGATGTGCACTCTTTACGAGTTCTGCTGGGTGGGTTCAATTTCCTACGGCCACATATCCATAAATATGCAGAGATCACACTTCCCTTATGGAAGTTATTAAAGAAAAAGACACAATGGGAATGGGGACCAGAACAAGAGTCCGCCTTAAATACCTTAAAACAAAAGGTTTCAGAGTAACAGCCGTGTTAGTCTGTATCAGGAATCAAAATACTCAAAAACCAGTGGGAGAACACTTTAACCTGTCTGGTCATTCAGTGACAGACCTGCGCGGGGGCTTATTA